CTTAAATAAAAAACCAGTTGGATTGACTTGTCTGATACCACTGGTGATAAAAAAGAAAATTTTTTCCAAGGTTCAAGTAAAGCAAAAAGACTATTCCAATTAGATAGATCCCTTTTAAGAAGATGTTGTTTTTATTTTTGGATTTCTTTGATAGACTTTGAATTGTCCCCTTTCTCTAATCGTTTTTCACTTTTCTTCTTTTTTAACTTAACAATTTATTGGTTTTCAGGCAATCAACAGTGACAAACTTTTGACAATGATTTTAATAGATAGAGATTATTATTAATCTATTAGGGGAATATAATATTGTTTCTAAAATTTGACTTAGAGTACTTTTGTATGAAGACGAGTTAGTCATATTGTAAAAGTTTGTAAAATATTATAAATTTACTTCAATTTTTCAATAAAGACAAGCTATCGTGACATGATTGCAGATTAAAAAAAAATATATATATATATACCCCTGTACACATGCATTGTATAATTATATAAATACAATTTGGAAATTAATAAAGATTAAGTATAAAACTATTAATAAAAAAAAATTTTTTTAAATTTTAAATTTAATATTATAAATTAAAAAACTTTTTCTATTAATCTTCAATTTTTTCAGATAAATTTTTTTTTTAATAATTTTTTGAGAAGAAGAGAAACCAATTAGAAAAATAAGAAAAATCATTTTTATAATCAAACAACCAACAAAAAATAAATTTAAAAACTTTTTACAAAATATAAAAAAGATAAGTTTTACAAAATTATTAATTTCTATTACATAAATTTTTTTTTTAAAAAGAGAAAAACAAGAAATAGAACTGAATCACAATAAGTGTTTCGAAGTTTAATATCAATCTCATAAAGCTCTTAGTCAAATCAATATAGATTAATATTTTTCTAGACATCAAGAAAAGCTTCATAAGCAAAAACTCAAACTAATAAATTAGTTCAAATTTAAATATTTATAAAATCTAGAAGATATCTAAGCATTATTAACTATATAGTAAAGAAATATATACTGTATATTGCAATAATAATATTTTAATAATACTATATTATACAAAAAAAAACTAAGTATAACTCTTTCCACTGATCCCTTGATAACACACAAAAAAGATGTTCATAAAAAGTTTTATACTTTTCTGTTAATAAAGTCTTATTACTTTCTCTAAAACAACTTGAAGAATATCTTCAAGAGTCTCTCCCAACTTCCCTTTCTTATTTATACTCCTTTTCAAACAAAAACTTGACTTCCGGTAACCAAGAAAAGTCAAAAAACACCTTTTTTACCAATGGCAAGAAAGTTCTAAAAGGAAGAAAAATCAACAGCGAAGTACTGAAAGCCTATCTCCTGAAGCAAGAGTGAAACTAGAGGTTTTCTGCAGTAGGTGGATAGGTGACAAAAGCCTAAACCAAAAAATTTCCTTTCCACTGTTTCTATCCTCTTAAAGTTGCTCATTTTTCAGAGTTTTTTGAGAAATTTTGCCTACCCCAGCTTGACCCTAAATTTTGGAGTGACACAAGATCGACATAGCATTTGCTAAAGGTGATTGGTCGACACAAAACACGTTGATAGCAGAATGTAAACAAGCTCCTACTGGTTACATAATGTGTTTCGATAACGTCATTGATGAAAGAAAGAGTATCCACTGATATGAACTCTTCCACTTCTCCAAATGAAGTGTAACTGAAGCAAAGAAATCATGAGGTCATTAGATGGGCATTAAATTCCCTAGGTGGTGAAAAGATGGTTATTTGTTTAAGCTGAGGCCTTTTACTTCTTATCATCCTGATCAGGCAAAGTATATGAAAGAGGTTATTTCCTTATTCCGGTCAGGCTGTAAGGCCGAAAAGCAGAGGAATGTAAAACACTACCCTTCTCTAGAATTGAGAATGCATTTCCCCAGACATTGTGTAATAATATCATAATCAACGAGAATCCCCATACTTTGCAGACCCTTCCACTATTACAAGGCAAAAAGATTGTTGAGGAATCTGGCTTTTTGGGTAATGAAAGATGTACATCAGTAAAATTCCATTAACTAAGCATGGCTGCTAGAAGATATTGGAAGTTACACAATAAGACTAAACAGTCACATAAGAACCTGGGGTCCACCATTAGCCATTCTGTGTTGCGCGTGTAAATAAAAAATCAAGACCAAAAGAAAGGAAGTGTTGAGCAAGATACTGGATCCGAGTAGGCAATAAGTACCTTAGACAGTCACAAGAAAATAATCAAGAGCATGAATGGATAAGTTCCTCAGACAGTCAGGAAGAAGAAGGAAATCCCAGAAGGGTTGATTCCTAATGAGAAGAGGTTTCTAGCTAAGATTCTTTGGAGGACATGGAGCAATTTTATTTTATTTTTTTCTTTTTTCGTTTTCATGTAGCACAATTGTACATTTTTAGATATTCTCTTTCCTTTTTGTAGTTTCTCGAATTCAGTTCCTTGAAGGATAATAAGCAGTAACAACTTGCTAGCAATGATGGGTAAGTTAGGAGGGTCTTCACCCAAAACTTAGTTCGGAGCGAAATATTGTTCCCAAGGTTGCACTTAGAGGCTGAAGCTCTTTTGAGAATTGAAAGCCATTAACAAGTATGTCAATACAAGATTTTAGTTTAACCATGATGCAATTGCCCTATATATCTAAATCAGTTTTCATAATGATTAATAAATACATAGTACTAGCCTGATCAAGGGTTTAAAAAAAAAAAAAAAGTAATACTATATTATACAGATATAGATATATATAATTTTTACAATAAGCTCAAAATATATATTAAATAAACACTTTTTATATATTTATATAAATTAACTATTAACAAATTTTAAAAAAATAAAAAAACTCTTTCCACTGATCCTCTGACCATATACAAAAAAGAATGTTTGCAAGAAGTTTTTATATTTTCTTGCTAATAAAGTCTTAATACTTTCCTTAAAACAACTTGAAGTATAACTTCAAGAGTTACTTCTATCATTTTCCTATTGTTTACAAACCTCTTCACTCAAAAACTTGACTCTTAGTGACCAAGAAAAGTCAAGAAATACCTTTGATATCAATGGCAAGAAAGTTCTCAAAGGAAAAAGAACTGACTGTAAAGTACTTGAAGGCCTATTTAACCTTTGAAGCGAGAGATATATAGAGGTTTTTGATGATAGAAGGGCTTATTTTTTCCCTTCCAGTCACTATTAGGCCTTTTAGAGTTATCGCTTTCATGGTTTTCTGGGGAATTTTGCCTACTTCAGTTTGATCCTGAATTTTTGGTAGCACAAATCCTCACCAAAGGTGATTGGTTGACACAAAACACGTCAGTTTTTGAAATGTAAACAAGCTCCTATTGGTTACACTCATGTGTCTCGATATATCATTGGTGATATAAGAAAGAAAGTTCTAGAAAAAGTGTCCCCTCCAATTATATATGTTTAACCTCCAGGAAAAAATTATAATACCGAAAGGCGAGCGACAGTATAAAAAGAAAATTCTACTTCCATCTCTCATTAAGTTCCTCAGGTGGTGAAAAGGCTTTCTTGGACAAAAGCTGAGGTTTTCAAGCTTCTATCCTGATTAGGCAAAGTTCTTGAAAAGATTTCTTTATCCCGGTTAGGCAAACTCTTCTGTAATATGACACTGGCCTTACTAGCAATAAGCGAATCCATACATTGGAAGAAAGATAAGTTCCTCAAATATTCTTCTTGAAGTCATTTTCAGGAATGGCTAAGTTTCTCAAACATCATGAAACTCAGAGAATATCCCAATCAGGCAAACCCCTTTTGAAAGGAAACTGTAAAATAGAACAAGAACCTTTTGGAGGGCTTTGATTTGCATTCTTCCTTCCTCTTTCCCAATATCAACTTTAGCAATTCATTGTTTTTCGGGATAATCTACAGTGACAAACTGTTGGCAATGATCCTGGTAGACTTAGAGGCACTATTGCCAAGCTACTAGGAGAGTGAAATATTGTTCCCTAAATCTGACTTAGAGTACCTAGTTTAGACTTAGTTTTGTTTAGTTCAAACTAGCTTAGTGGACTCCTTATATTTTTTAAGTAGTGTAGTCCTTTAACTAATAATATACAATGACGAGTTAATTGTTTTGTGAAAGTCTGTAATATTTAGGTATTTCTCAATATCTCAATAAAGACATGCCATTGCGGTATGATTGTGGGTTGAAAAAAAAAATAATAATAATAAAATATTTATTTTAAAGCTTATATTATAGATTATTATATGAAAAAGTTTGATTAAATAAAATTATTAATTAATAAAAAAATAATATAAATATATTAAATTTTATTTTTGGAATTTAATAATTTTTATAAGTTTAAGTTTTTTTTAAAAAAAAATTAAAAATACTTATATTTTTATTAATTTATAATTAAATTTAATAAAAAATTTTTTAGTTTATTTTTCATATCATAGGTTATTATATAAAAAAAAGTGTATTAAAATTTAATTATCAATTATTAAAATAATTATATGTATATAATTATATCTATTTTTATATTTTGAAAATTTTTTTATTATATTCTTTAAAATTTAGAAAAAACTTTTTTCTATATTAAATTTTTATCTTTATTTTTTAATATTTGTTATAATAATATTATAATTGTTAAGTATATTTTATTTTATGTTGTTATATAATAGTTGTGTAGTTTATTTATTATGTTTTTATATAAATTTCTTATTTACTTATTTATCAATAGTTATATTTAAAATATATGGGCAATTATTCTTGAAGGCGATCAAAATATTAAATATGATTTTTTTGGCCCCTATTTTTTATTAATACGTATATAATGCAATATAATGCAAATTTTAGGATCACAATTATAAGGTCTGAAAAATCCCTGTCTGCCTTCGAAAATAATTACCCATATATAAACCTATCTAGTATTATTGTTATATAAATTTAATATAAAAAATTATGTTATATTATTTTAATATGTTTATTTATTTGTATATTTTAATAAAATATTACTATTTTAATATTTATGTGGAAGATCAATTAACTTATTTAAATTATAAGTTATATATATTTATATTCATGTTATAATATTTAGAATATATATATTTTATTTTGATTTATATATATATAGTATTTAAAGTTATAAAGTTTATATTGATTTTTTTTTTATTATAAATTATTTTATTTAATTTAATGATACTAGCTTATTTCTATTTAGTATCAAGATCTTTATTAATTATTAAAATAGATTCTAGGAACAACCAAAATGATTAATTATTCATACTGTCTAAGGATTTACAGATCAATTAATAGTATAAGGGGCATCTATTATCATGGGCTAACCTAACGAGTCCGTCACTAATCCGTAGTGCCTTGCGTAACCCAGACATCTTACAAATACTTACAAAGAAAAGAACGTCTCCTATAAAGAATACTTAAGAAAGGTAGAGGCGAGGTGATTGACTTGGCCAAAGGTAAGTGTTTCTTTATTGCATTCTATTTCTTTGAGATATCACTAACTCTTATCTCTATTCTCAATGAGGACTGTTTTTCTTAACACATTCAGCTCTACTTTTTTGGCATATATTGATAAGCTATTTATACTTTTCTAACTAACAATGGGCTATCTACTTTATAATCGACTATACTAATCCTAAGCTTTGCCAAACTTTTCATACTTTTCAGATACATATAGTTCCCTTATCAATACTCGAGCCTTATTTATAGTTTCTTATCTTGCGACACTCCATCTTTCATGCCAGACTTTCAGGTTTTTGGATTCTAGACCATTACATGTAAATCGTATCACTCATGTGACTTTTTTTTTTTTAATATTAATTTTTTTATTTATTTTATATAATATATATACAGTATACAATTATATATATATATTCTAATAGTTTTTTATTTTGTTTAATATTATAAAAAATTATTGTTTTTAATAATTAATCAATAATAATTTAAATTAAAATACTTATAAAATACTACAGTGTATAATTTTCATGATCAAATTAGCACCTTTAATATATAGTAAGATGAACTTGTTTGCAAAAAAATTGGTTTAATTTATATTTTATGACCTATAATACATGTTGCTAGCTTGACTTAATAGATTATTGTAATAATAATAGTCAGATTTATAATCTACACAAAGAATTTTGATTTTTTAATTAAAAAAAAAAAAAAAATTAAATATTATATTATTTCCTGTATTGCATTTAAAAAGGAATCAACTTTAACAGATATTAGTGAGCACGCGAGTATGTGATCACGTACTGCAAATCAAAATGACACTAGAAACGACTAAAGTCATCGAACATCGTGACTTCCTCCTCTAACCTTCTTAAGCTAACTCTAAGGCATCATGCATGCTGATTCCTAGCCCACGTCATATTTTCGCCCTTGGGAACCTTCTTATATTCTTCATTCTTCTTTATTAACTTCTGCTCTAACCGATGTCGGCGACTTTTGACGATTTTGTCAGGAACACTTGTGACAACAGCTATGGGAAATCTACCTCTGTGCTATGAAAAATTTAAGGGGAAAATATAGCTAGCCCAGGCGTGTAAAATTTGAGATTTGAACACTTACGTATGAAGACATTCTTTCAGACAACCTCCGAATCTATTTTTTTGCTTCTCTCACAGATAGCACATTCAGTACCCAGCAACAGTTTAGTATATTCTTGTTCATTCATTCCGTGAGGTGGCGGGAGGGTGATGGGTCAAACGAGAACTTTCTTAAAATTGTTCCATAGATGGCCGTAAATCTTCTATCAATTCTTTTGTTTCGTTATCATTTTTTGTTCTTGATTCAAAATGCGAGTGACGTCTCGAGCACGACTATTTACAGTAACTAGGAAATGGATCTAACCAAAATTGGCATAATAAATTTTGTAGTAAATAATAATAAAAGTTACTGTCCATAAAAGTAAATTTTGTTATTAACAAATTATATATTAATTATTTGATAAAATATACTGTATACTGTAAATGACCTAACGCATTACTACATAGTATGCACATGCTGTATCAATGTTTTCGTCGTAGAGTTCTCGTAACTCCCTAACTCTCTTTAATCTTTTCACAGGTGAATGTCAGCTCTTTATGTAAGCATTCATGACTTATGTTTAAACAAATGAGGTCTCGAGAAATTGAGAATCTTGGCCGATGATCACATTGGTTGAACCTTCTTCGACTTAGGATCATGAATTTGCAAAATTATTATTATTTACAATTTTATTATTATGAATTATCTTTTATCCGCGTTTTTCTTTAAAAAAGTCATTTGACGAGAGGTTTCAAAAATTTTTTTCACTTCAATAATCTGTGAGGTAAAGGAACCAAAGGAATCGTGGCGAATTATATGAATGATCCAAAAAATGGTATTATTGTGATGCCTTGTTCTAACGATGGTACAGTGAACGCTGATGCCCAGAAAATCTGATGAAAAGTAATCCTCGCAAATCAATATATTATGATCTGATAATAAGAAAGATGAATGATCAGAATATATTACATTTCTATGTTCACGATGATACATTTTTTTTTCAATTGACTGATTCTACTTACTTGTAGCCAAAAAACTTTGCCGCCATCAGTTCTTCAACCCATTCGGTAACTCCGCTACTCAAAACTCGTTGCATTCCGACAGTACTCTTTACCGCATCCCAGTTATCACACGCGTACTTCAGGCCCACTTCTTTTAGCTTTTTATTGGAGGTCTTCCATCCCAAAATCAAATATTGCTCCCAATTTTCCGATGAGATCTGGTGGTGGCGAATAATCTGAGAGGACACCAAATCCCTCAACTCTTCGATGCCCCTTATCTCCGCTTCAACGTATAGATTCAATAGGATATCAAAATCTAGTCCATTGGCCAATCTACCGGTATATATAAACCTTATTAACAACTTAAAACATTCGTATTTAACGCTCTCGATGGGAATTGTGAAGAGTTTGGATTCTTTCCAACTGCCCTCAAACATGCTCTCAAAATAAGCAGACCTTGAGGCAAGAACAACACGAGATGCTTTAAGTTTCGATCCGCAATCGAATGAAAATTCGACATCGCTGTACGTTTCATTATCAAAATATTTATCTAGTGATGGCGTATAACGTTTGCATACAGTGATATCATCGTTAATTGAGTCATTTGGAATCGCAGTTGTTTGGGCAAGGTCGAAGAAATTAACTTTCACCACCAGATCAACTTTTTGATTTCGTTCGTTGTTAGGAAAGATTTCGCTGAAGGCACAAAATTCGGAACTCCCCCACGCTGACTCGTGGGTGAAAAAGTTGAAGGTATTCGTCTCGACACCTCTTTTTGTTTTCAGCTTTACAAGGGTTGGTATTGAGGTTGACGAGTTGGTTGGTGTGGATCTATAGATATCCACGCTGTATCTAATTTTCCTGGAAGTTAATCCCCTCTCTCTTTCGAAATCTGATTGATATGACCAGAGGAATGCTGACATGTGTTCTTTCGAATTCTTTCCTCCGCGTGGACGAACAGAAAAACGCCAAATGTACTGCTGTTCTAGGTCATTCGATGAAGAAGCCAGATTGTCCGAAAATGACGGCGAGGATGAAACCGGTGAATAAAACCTTTCGCTAAAATGGTCGTCTGTTTCTTTCAACCTCTTGAAGAGATCTTGAAAATCTTTAATGTTCCACGTGTAAGTATACATCGTCATACCATTTTCTGCGTCTTTTTCCTTTTTCTTTACTGTCATTTAATTTTTGATAAGGTTGAACTTCGTTGCGGTGATTCGAGTTGAAATGTATGATTTCTAGAACTTGTGATAAACAATGTCATGTGATATTTGCAATATAACGTGAGCATTAAAAGGTCACACGCAATCATATAATCAGATTGATACACGAGATCCAAGGGTGCATATAAACCCCCTTTAGTGCATTGAAGATTTAGGGACTATGCGCTTGCGATATCAGACTTTTTTCGATCACAAAATGCATCGTAATCGCATGAACCCATTCCATTAAATCCAATGATTCTTTTACTAACAAGAAAAATCAAATCTTAACAGAAATCATGAAGCAATATCGGTGGTGACACGATTACAATGCTAAGAGAAAGAAAATTTTCTTTCTTGGCTTATCTAATGATGATATGCGCGATGCATCAAAGGCTTGGCATGCAGTCGGTCGCGAACACCCATTTCAAAGCTATTTAACCCGCCATCCTAGACTTTGTTTCTCATCGTCACATATTTTCTTTGAGAAATATAAAAGTTGTCTACTTTATCAATAAAATAAAAAAAAAAAAAAAAAAACTTCAAAGATGATGTCAAAATTCCACAATTTCTTCATCTTCCTCGTTCTTACACTTCTACTCCTAATTAACCTCTCCCTATCAACACCGGTTGCCAATCCAACACCCGAGCCATTGGCCGAACCACTTCCATCCCCTGTTACTTCATCCGTCGAAGCCATGCAAGACATCGAAAAACGACAATTTCCTCTATTTGGCGGTGGCTTTGGGGGTTACGGCAACGGATACATGAGTAGTGGTTATAGTAGTGGCTTATATGGAGGCTTTGGTGGTCTAGGTTATGGTGGTTTAGGTCTCGGTGGTCTAGGTTATGGTGGTCTAGGTTATGGTGGTATGGGTTTCATGCCATTTATAAAGAAACGTGACATCGGTATCGATATTCCGGAACAAAACATTGAAAAACGCGATCCAAGCGTTTCTCAAGATGCTGCACAGGACACCATTCTCGTCAAACGTCAGTTGATCCCCGGCGTGGGACTAGGTGCTGTTCCGGCTTTAGGACTTGGTTTGGCTCCTGCGGCATTGGGCGCTTATCCCGCTGCCGCATTTCCTGCCGCTGGTGGATTCGGGGTGATTTAAAAAATGGCAACTTCGCTGTATTTAAAATTTTTAAGAAAGTGAAAAATACGCGAAACTTGTAAAATAGTGAATGGGTTCTCCGTTAAAAATTTATTTTCCTTAACTAAATGTAATATGTAGATAATAATAATTAATCTTTTCCGTAATGTGGCGTTTTAATAATTTTTTTATATAATAAATAATAAATATATATATACTGTATATTGTACGTGTTATCTATCACGTGATGTTTACTGACCGTTAATTAAGAAACAACTACTCACGTCTTTACCTCAAAATTCTATTTAACTTTTGTTAGAATTAATTAATTATAAACTTCTTTAACTCAAGCTCAAATATTTTAAAGCTTTTTATTATAAAATTAATAAACTTATAAATATTAGAAAATTTTAATGTGAAAGTAAGTCATAACAATTTTGTATATATACAATAAAGACATGCCATGTTGACCTGACTGCGGATTAAAAACAGTACGTATACAGGATATTAGAAAATTTTAAATGAAATATAAATTACTGTCGATTTAAAAAAATTTGATTGTTTTATCGTTTTACTTAATATATATTATATAACAATAATAATAATCTTCATAATTTTAATAATTGACTTTTAATAAAAGTTCATAATATACTAATACGTATATCAATTTAAACTTTTAAAATAGAATATCAGATGTTAATCGACTTCGTATTTTGCTTTGAAATTATATTTGCCAAATAACTAACATATATTTTACTCGTTCATTTATTTATATGAAAACTTTCAAATTTGATTGTAAAAACCATTACTTCGAAGTCGTTCTCCGGTGGAACTTTGAAAAAGCATCCATCGGCTATTTATACACTTTTCGTATCCTCCACGTGATCAATAATAGACCACCCAATGACCGGTGAAACAACAACCTCACCATTTGAACCCTCAAGAACCTCTTGGTTCGCTCCCATAAATCCCGCAACAAACTTTAATTTTAAATTTGTGTCGGTTTTGAACGGAACTTCCACTCTTCCATCCGGAATGTCACTGGGTTCAAGTGTATTGTTTGTTATACGTTCTCCGGTGCGATCATATGGAAAGAAGCCTAGCATCCACCCCGAGATGCTACGTGGGCCTGACCCAAAACGTTGTCTCGAAGAAACTTTGCTCCAATAATCTTGGTCAATTTCACCCTTATATGTAGCCACAAGATTCTCCACTACGGGGTCTAAACGGTCTAGCCAGAAATCCATTTCAAGCGATAATTTCCGAAGATCTTTGGTTTTTTTTTGAATCTTGATCCAATCGTCGAGGGTACCTTCCAGGGTGATCTTGGGAATACCACACATTAAACAAACCTTATAACTAAAGTATGCCTTAACTGCATCCAACAAGACAATCCTGGAGGCTGTTCGAGAAACCTCGGTTGTTGTGGAGAAATCGCATTCTAACAATGATTTTAAGTTCCTTTCTACAATATTCTTATCTGCTTCAATCACAAGCTGATTTACAGTTTCGGACCAGTCACTGCTTAATTTACCATCGGCCAATCTGGCAAAAACCGATATTTCCTTTTTTCCTTCGTGTTCAACAAATTTGCTACGGAACTTTTCAGCATTATAGTTAATGTGCCGACTTACGCCTTGAGCAATAGTAAGCCAAACATCATCGGGGGTTAGGCGCAAATGTTGGTGTTCGTTATAGGCATGAAGTATGGCAGCTGCCAACCCGTGAGAGATTCCTCTTTCAAGGACTGTTTTCTTTGTGTCGAATTTTGATGAAACCGAATAAACCTTAACACCTTTAAACACTCTGGAAATTTTTTCTTCGATAGTAATATGTGTTTCTAAATTATTCTCAACCTTGATTTGAGCGGCTAAGACTTGGGTGCTATGCGTAACCGCAGCCATTTTTTGATTGAGACGATTTTTGGTAGAAAATGACCATGGGTATTTATAAGATGACGCATTTTATTATTTAATACCGTATTTGCTCTTTCAGCTCAGCCTCATCCCCGAAAGGTTCTGTTAGATGCATAACTTTTTTTATATGTTTCGTTTTTTAAAAACCAAAAAATGGCGTCATTTAATAACAAAAGTAGTTAATCCATTTAATATTACTTAAAATGCAATTGTATGTTGTTGCAGAAAAGGATTGGAGCAGGTCCGTTATGTGCATAATTGCATAATTCTTGCAGTTACAGAAAAAGGTATTTGGGATCGAGTAATGATTAAAAATAAAATAAAAAAATGAGGGAAAAGGAAAGGAGATAGAACTACACAATAAAATTTGATATTATTATGTTACTCTTCAATCATCTCTTAATATTATAATTGTGTTCCTTTATTATTTAAACATGTAATTATTGCCAGTGTTTTTATTGGTTAATTACCTTTGATAAAGATTATGCTATTCAAATATTTAAAGTCAAATTAAATAAAATAAATAAAATTTGTTAAAAATTATAACAATTTGCTTCAAAGATATGAAGAATTTTTATTACTATATAATGAAATTTTTTTATTATTTAAAAATTTTCTTATTATTGATAATAAAAGTGCTAGTTTACTTTTCTCAATTGTCAAAAGTTAAATTTTTGATTGAAAAAAAATTGTAAATAAAAGAAACTATGCTTTAAAATATTGTTACTCTTTAAATTATTATTATAAAAATTGAATTAAGACTTTATTAGTAAATAAACAATTAAATTTTTTTATATACAATCAAAAAATCAATTTCGAATTCAAAAATATAATTTAAAATTAAATATCAAAATTTTATTTTTTAAAATAATTTTATTAATAATATATATATGTATATATATTTAATTAATAAAACTATTAGTAAAAATTTAACTTAATACTATATTCAAATACTCTTTCCACTGATCCTTTGACCATACACAAAAAAGGTATTTGCAAAAAGTTTTTATACTTCTTGACTAATAAAGTCTTCTTACTTTCCTTGAAATAGCTTGAAACTTATCTTCAAGAATTACCAATGCACTCTTTTACTTATTTATAAACTTCTTTAAACAAAAATTTAGATCTCTAGTAGTCCAAATAAACTCAAGTATATACTTTCTCTACTAAAGACAAGAAAGTTCTAGAAAATAAAAGAATCAATTTGTAAAGTATTATCTTTCAAAGCTGAAAATAATATAAAAATAGAGATTTTTTAGACAGAAAAAAACTTATTATCTATTTTCTTACATACTGTCTTTTCTTCTCTTAGAATATCTACAGTTTTTCATAAATTTTTTAAAAAATTTTGTCTACTTCAGTTTAATCTTAAATTTCTGAAAATACAATATTATCAGACTTCTGATTAGTTGATATTAAACATATTGATAGCAAAATATAAATAAGTTCTTATTGGTCATACTCACATATTTCAATAATATTATTGATAAAAAAAAGAAAATCTATTGATATGAAATTCTATACTTCTTTAAATAAAATGTAATTAAAGTGAAAAAATCATATAATTAATTAAGATAGATAATAAATTTTCTAGATTATGAAAAAGTAGTTATTTGTTCAAGTTCAGGTCTTCAATTTCTTATTATTCTAATTAAGCAAAATAAGTAAAAGAAGTTATTTTCTTATTTCAATTAGATAGTAAGATTGAAAAACAAAAAATTGTAAGTTGCTACCCTTTTTAGAATTGAGAATGCATTTCTTCAAATATTATATAATAATATTATAATCAATAAGAATGAATATTATTCTGTAATAACCTGTGGGTCAATAGTGTAGTGGTAATGCTCCCAGGTCACCAAGTATTGTTTCTGAGTTCAATACTATTGTGAGGCAGTATCACCTAAGCCTAGGTGATACAAGAAGATCCTATCCATTCCATAATGATGATTTAATCACCTCTGACCAAGACCACGTCTGATCACAGGGCATCCAAAGATTACAAGATGCTTCAGCCGGTTTTAGTGCTGAAGCCACCTCGTCACAAGACAGGTTATTCAAGCTCCTGCAGATAGGTTGAAGATCTGCATGCTGTAAAATCAAGAAAGCTAGTGGAGCCTAGGCACATTAGTTAGAAGAGGGTCTCTATCAAAATCGAAATCCATCCAAGACTCCACATGATCACTCCATAGGCAGGCTGTAATAGGTCATGTAAAAATAATGCTCTGGCGGGACGAGATGACATCTAAGACTCTACGTAGATATTTCTAGGCATACTGTAATAAGTACTGTAAAAAGAATATTCGGCGGGACGAGATATGAAAGGGGTTTTGTGTTACAGACCCCGGACCTGTAGATATGAGGGTCAGGAAAGAGTAATACAGACGCAGGTAGTGGGGTAGTAAGACTTCTTTCAGCAACAAGCCATGGGGGTACACAAGGTGTTACAATCAGGTTTATTAGATATAATGGTGGGATGGACTAAGGTGCATTGGTTAGTATAAAGCTTGACTATTGAATTGCTCTGTAATTAGCGACTATATTATATGTAAAGGCCGTCCTATTGACTTCAATAAACTGGGCTTCGTTATTTTTTCAAAAAAAAAAATATATATATATATATATTATTCTGTGATATTCTTTTATTAGTGATTACAAAAATCAAATTGAATCAAATTTTAACTAGATTCGATTCAACTTGATTTTTATAAATATGAATTAAATATAAATCAGATTTATTTTAAACTAATCTGCTTCAATTTAAAACTAAAATAATTTGATTTAAATCTAATTTGATTTAATTTGAATCTGATTCAATTAAATCTAAATCTACATTTGATTTAATTTGATTCAAAATTAATTCAATCGGAATCTAAATTTGATTTGATTTGATTTGATTCAAAATCAATCTAAATCCAGTTTAGTTCATTTTGAACCTATTTCAAAATATATTTAACTATAACTACTTTGATTTAACTAAATTAAATTAAATATGTTTAAATTAACCTATCTTTATTTTAATAAAAAAATTTCAATTACCATATTTACTTTTGAAAATATTTTTTAATTTTAAATCTATATATATATGAATTTTATAAAATATTTTTTAACTTTAAATTTAAAAATTTTTATTTTATTAAATTTAAGTAAATATATTTATCTTATCCATAATTATTCATTGTTTCTATATTAATATATTTTTTATTAACCAGTATTTTCTGAAATAACTTGATTTTATATATAATTTTTTCTTTATTTTTTATTATTGATATTTCAAATATTTACAAAATATATTAATCTATTGATAATTGATTATATTGATAATTTATATAATATTCTTTTTTTTATCTTTTTTCTATTTTTTTATAGCTGATATTATTTTTTGATTAAATTTTAGAACAATCCATAAGCTATATCTTCTATCAACAACACTATAGTATTATATAATTTATTCTCTGATCAGAAATAAAGAATATTTCTTAGTAAAAATTGTGGCAATTAATAATTTAAATTTTTAATAATTTGTAATATTTAAAAAATACCTATTATTTCAACTTTAATTCTTCATTTAATTATATAAAAGTTGCCTTCAACAAAATCTTCCTTACTACAAACAAATTCTTTATTATTAACAGGTTATATTTTTTAAACAAGTAGTTATAATTACATAATCCAAAAAATTGAGATCAGTATAATCAAATTTGCTATATTTTCAGGTTACATAGACTTTATATAACCCTAAAAAATAGTTTAAATATATTTTTATTATTGAAAAAAATTGTAATTCTTTATTGGTAATACCATATTTGTTGCTATTTAGTTGAAATAAATCATTTTCTTCTATTTTTTTTTGTATACTTGTAATCATATTCTTAGGATATATATAGTATGTATAGTATAGTTAAAAAAAACTATTCATTACTATAACTTTCTCTTCTTGTAAATATTTCTTTTTGAACCTTTATAATTTGACAGGTATATTATATATATGGATAAAAATTTTACTTTTTCTTATAAAAAAATATCTATAAATGTTAATATTAATAAAGTTTTAAAAATTAAAAACTTAAGTTTAGTTAAATATATACCCTGCAATTATTAAGACACCTTGATTCAATTCTTTAATTTTTGATAATCAGGTAACTTGTTAATGCAAAACAAACATATCAATAATTGTATTTCTTATGAGTTCAAGTATATTGGAACTAATATAATTTTAATATACAACCAGTATCATCTTATTTGAGACTCTATCACAAACTATTATTTCTTCAATTTTTTTTCTATTCTTAAAAAACAGAAGACAATATCAATCACAGGTACATGTGAAGGCAAGAATTCAAATATTCACTTTCTTTTTATTTTTTTTTTATCATAACTAAGAAGGAGATAAAATATATTATTTTTACTGCATACACTTTCTCAAAATATTTTTGAGTTAATAAATTTCCTTGACCTGTAATTTAATTAAATTAATACAATTTCTAAAAATTGCAAAAATTTAAACTTATAAAATTTTTATAGAGTATTTTTTTTTATTTTTTTGTATTATTAATGCCAACTCTTAAAATAGTAAAATTATTTTTTAAGTCATTATTACAAGTAATCCAAAATCTCAAAATTTCTTTGTTAATTAACCTGATATTATTTTATTATTAATAAACTTAGAAAATATATAAGTATTTTTATTATATTTAAGTATTGATATTAGAATCAAAAATTATCAAAGATCACATTGAAGAAGGTACCTACTAATCCCATTTGATAGAAATACTCAATCACAACAAACAAAAAAAAGAACCAATGACATTCTATTCAGATGGGTCTCTCATTAACCACAGAAGTACAAATATGAGAATGGAAGCAGCATGGATACAGATAGGAGAAGCAGGAAGAGAAAGCAAGTTCCAAACTAGAGTAGAGGATTGGTCTCCATCCACTAGAACAGAACTAGTAGTGATAGTTACTATACTACTAGTAGCCCCAGTAGA